AAACTCTGCGCTGGAAAGAAGCTGATGTGCTGCTTTCTCAACAGTGTATCAGACATGTCAAACAGTGCCAAGACCCCCCACATTCCAGCCAAATCTGGCTATGGGCTTGCTTTCCACTGGGCAACAATGAAAGCTACAAGACTCACCACTCCTAATTTATATACTGTGAAAAGGCCAATCTTCCCCAAGAGAAAACGAGACCCAGGAAAGCACTTCCTAGCTATTGTTGAATACATCAATAAAGAAATTGTGTGTGTGCCTATTGCTGTCAGTTTTTCTCATTGTGACCCAATAAAGTGGGTTTGTGAGCTGTACCTGGAAATAATGAGCTACAGATAATAGTTATCTGGAACAAGTTACTTCATGGGTATTTGGACGGATGGGTTAATGTAGGTGGAACAAAATTACATTTCAAAAGTAACACAATGATTAACACATGTAATATTTTGGTGTTACGAATAACATTTTAAAATTATTTTTCAAACATTGCATTTAAAGGACATTTTTAGAGACATTATGGCTGCATCTACACTGCAGAAATAATCCAGTGTGATGCTGCTTTAACTGCCATGGCTTAGTGCTCCATTGCCACAACAAGCTACAACCCCCAGAATTCCATATCATTGAGTCATGACAGTTAAAGCAGCATCAAACTGGATTATTTCTGCAGTGCGGACACAGCCTATGAGGAATTTTTCAGGTTTCATACCATTCTCTTATCAATCCAGCTGGGGATGATAGGGGTTGTTGTGCATCTGGATATGGAAAGCCTGATGGGTATGTTGGCTGCTTGCTAGGTTTGGCCTGATTGGTAGTAATATTTTGAATGTTACTCAATGAAGCAGCATATAGAGGTGTACTCCTGCATTATCTTTGAAACTTCAAAGGATTGTAGGGCATAATGATTGATTCGCACAACATAGGTGTAGACAACAGAGCTTGGGCAGACACTGTGTCTTGCAACAGCCCTGCTTTACATCCAGTGCTGGAATTCACTCTTTCTGGGAGCTGCAGTTTAGCTGGAAAATAGTAGATCCATTTCTAGGTATTAGTTTTTCCTGGAAAAGGCATATTAATTATGTGGGTTGAAACAATGCCAGTAGTGAGGGATATTTCTGTCCAAAGTAGTCCTGACCTCTTTGCACATGAGTATTGCCTGCTGTTTTTGTTGCTGGTTGTGTGTGTGTGTGTTTAAAATAATGAAATTAACATTCAAAAAAGTGTTTAAACACAGATATGGGACTGAGCTCATTTGATCTCATGGTGGAGGAACCATCTTGCAACTGGGTTTCCTGAACACCTGCACTACATTGTAGACTTATTTCACCATGTTAGCCCAAGAGACTGAAACACACAAAGCTTTAATGGGGGCTTACCGTATGAAATAGCAAGGGCTTGCCTTCTCCGACAGATGTTTACTAGTGTAATTTGTAATGAAGAGCAATATTGCCAGTTTATGAGTGTGGAAATCCCTTCACCCAGAGTCCCAAATATCTCAGTGTTTATTCATAGGGAAAGCGAAAAGATGGGAAAGGACTGAGGGGTACAGAAATGTCAGCCAGTAGTCCCCCTCTTGCACCCAGGGCTAGTGTCAGTCAACACCCAGCATTCATGGGCAATGTTGGGGCCCCTGTGCCCTGGGAAGAGTAGTGGAGTGGAGCCATGTAGTATGAATGGAAAGACACACTGATGCCATTTTGCCTGTCTTAACCCCCCTCCCCCTCTGAAAAATCCCTTCTAGTCAATGTGGCTTCTGATTTTCTATGCACTGTGAGAAAAGCATAAATGTTTTCATGCCAGACCCCCCCCCAAAAAAAAACCCATTGTATGATTTGATATATATTTTTATTTTAGTGAGATTTAATTTAGTTTTAGACTTTTTTTTTCTTTACAGCAATGCTACTTAAAGTGGTGGTCTGAGACCAGTGCTGGTCCACAAGCCATTGGCTGCTGATCTCTGACTGGTTTCCATGAAAGATAGAACCAGCTATAGCCAAAGGGCAAAAGTATTGTACTGATCCATGGCACATTTGGGCATGTGTTGGGGGACATATCACCCTCCTCTCTCATCAGATACCTTGAGGCACCCTGTTTTACATCATTTTTCATTCTTATTCCATATGCCCCTCCAAGCTTTGTATGGGATCGGTGAGAAACTTTGTTACACTCTACCACAGTTATACCACTGTCCGTAGTTAGAAAGCCACATTCATGCCTGAGGGGACTTCACCCCTAGTTCTTTAGCAAGGGCAGGAATTACATGGACTGTGGGCCACATACAACTTCCATGCCACATTTGTACCCATCTGATCTTCCTATCACCTTCATATTTCTTGCAAAAATGGGAGTATTTTTTTCAAGGTGCATTTCAAAAATGTATTTATTTATTTTATTGATATGCCCAAGACATATGGGACCCAAGGCTGTTCAGAAATAAAACTGGTTGAAAAACTTAACAATAAAAATAAAAAAGAATGACAATTTAAATCATCTCATTAAAACAGTACAAAATTACATTAAAATGCAAAATACAAAAGTTAAAAAACATAAATAGAACACCCCCATATAAAAGTCTCCCTGACAATGATTATAATATATTATGTATTTGAACAAAATCCTCTTTGCTTGCCAGTGAACAAAGAGGGGGCCAGTGTACCCCCTATGGAAGGACATTCCAGTGGGTTGGAGCAGCCACTGAAAAAGCTCTTTCTCATGTCCTCACCAAGTGAGCCTGTGATGGTGGAGAGGACTGAGAAAGCCTGATTTTAGGGCCCTTGCAGCTTCATATGAGAAGATATGGTCTTTCAGAGTGTCTGGACCTAAGCTGTATAGGGCTTTATAGGTCACGGCCAGCACTTTGAATTGTGCCCATTTTGAATCTACTGAAATTTCTGAATAGTTTCCAAAGGCAGCCTCCAAATTTTCCTCCAAAACAAGACTCACACTGTAGACCTTGTTGTTGCAAAAACAAACCAAAGGAGCAATATAAACAGGCAATGATGATGATGGTAAATGATTTTTAAATCTTCCTTTTAAAATAAATAAATAAATAAATATGGTCAGGTGTAATATATATATATTGTAACTCGAATGTTGTAAGTTGTGGGGGCTTAGGTAGGAGGGCTGGAATTCACTAAGGCAGATGCAAAAACATAACCTAGAGTTACATGTTTGTGACTAGTTTGTGTTTGTGATTCCTACATTTTCACAGCTTTATGGAATACATGAGGACAGTGAAAGTTCCCTAGTCCCTGCTTTCCAGGTAGCAACTGTTACCATCAATGGGAATGTGTTCCCCTATCAACTGGAAAGCAGGTGACTGACATTCCCACCTCCTTCTCATGGGTGATCTCTGATGTGAGGGGGAATCATGCCAGAAATCTTGCTTCTGCCTGTAACAACAGAGATTGCTCATGGGAGAGGAGGGGGAACACCAGTGAGGAGTTTCCCAATAGACAGGGGAATAGACTCCTGTTGATCATAGTGGTTGCTGCCTGGCAAATGGGGTGTGGGGGTTGGTCTGGGAATCTCTACAGAGCTATGTAACTTTGGTGGTTACATAGCTAAGTAGCAGATAGAGAAATCCAGCTGAGATAATTAATAGATCTGATAGATGGTTCTTTTACCAGGGCTGAGATGGTGCATCCTTTTGTTGGGTAAACTGTTGGCAATATGTTGCCATGGATGCAAAATGATTAACTGATTCTTTCTTGATATCAAATCACTTTGAGAATGTATATGAATTGAAAAACTTGAAAAGAAGCATTCCTTTCCCCCTCCCAGCAAAAGATCAGGCAATCTAGATATCTTTGTATGAAGAGAGACAGCAATTTTGCATAATTGGATGGGAGATACTGAGACGGTTGAGCTGGGACTCTAAGTAAATTTCAGGGTGCTGACAGTCTCCTTGGAGATCTGAGTTGGAGCAGTGGATGTGGCTGTTTGTTACAGTATTCCAGCTTCAAGGATTTGTAGTTTTACCAAAATCTTTAGCCTTCTCTGCCAAAGAGTGCTAGTGCCTCCCCAAACTACAAATTCCAGGATACTGTAGGATGGAACCATGGCAGTTAAAGTGGTGTCAAGTTGCATTATTTCCACAGTGTAGAATGATGCAGCCTAGACTTACACTTCCAAATTGTATTTTTTTTTTTACAAAGTATATATTTGTAAGAAAATGCAACTATTACAAAGCATCAGTAAGACTCCAGGGCTGGCCCAATGCCTGTTGCTGGGTGAAGCAAAAGACAAGATGATGCCTCCCCACTTTTCATATACAAAAGCCCCAAATTGCCAAATGTAGCAATGGAGTATTATTTTTTTCACCACATCCAAGAATGGCAAGTTAGCGTAGGGCACACAGGGCAGGCTGCAGAACACACACACTTTGAGTGATCGTTGGTGTCTTCTGTGTCAGTGGTGTGATGAATCCCCTCTGGGTTTTCTTTCAGTCTTTAAAGGAGCAAATAAATTCAGTACCTTGGAGAGAGCCATTAAAGGTTTGGTGTAAAACCCAGAGTGGTTTCACCGCATTCCTCACATGGAAGCCATTACTTGCCATTGAGAGCAGTTCTATCTTCATTTCCACTCCTCAGTGTCTGCTGTCCCAAATGGCTGCCTTATTCTGCCTAGGGATAGAGCTGTCTCTGCCAGTGACCTTGTTCCAAACACTGTGTTGCTGGAATCACTAACTCAGGAAAGTGGGGTATATATATGAACAAATCAGGTAGAGATGTGGGATGCAGACAGCCACTGCTGCCACTGAAAGCTGTTATCTATGCTGATTGGTGTGATCATCTTTCAAAATGTCCTAGCATGTTTATAGATGTGTAGAGGTTAGCACTGGCCAAGACTGAGCACCCAAACATAATGATAGATAGCAAAAGATATATTCAAATATATCCTCAATTTCTTAAATATTTTGTGGAAAATGTAAATGTATAATCTATCATATAGGGATTGTGCATATTCAGCCTTGGAACTATGACCCCAGAAAGAGAGCAAGCATGGTGTAGTGGTTTGACTGTTGGACTATGATTCTAGAGACCTGAGTTCAATTCCCAGCTGGGCCATGAAACCCACTGGGTGACCTTGGACAAGTCACATGCTCTCAGCCTTGGAGAATGTCAGCAATGTCAAACCTCCTCTGAACAAATCTGTCAAGAAAACCTCATGATAGGGTAGCCATAAGTCAGAAACAACTTGAAGGCATACAGCAATAACAAAGAATGCAGGGTGCCAATTTCAACTGGGGTCTCAATTAGATATTTGATGATAAATTCAGGACTACGGATAGAAAAATGTGTTTCCCATCTGCAAATCTTTTGCAGTGGCCAAATTCAACAAAGACAATTATGTCCAGCACAGACAGTCCAATGCTGCATACCTGCCGTCTGCATAGGTGTTAAAGGAGCCTTTCAGAAAAGATTCTAATTCAACACAGATATGTAGAGATTTAAACTCAAACTTTTAAGGGTTAGGGACTCAGAACTCCAAGTTAGGCTAGAGGAATCTATTAAATAGGGTTTCTTCCACATACAGTTTTAAAATGTCAAATTCTTTCCATCCTGAATAGGAAGAAACTTTGAAAGATTTGTTAAATATTTTAAATGAAAAAGGAACTGAACTGAAATTCAGACTCATCCAAAAGTACAGCATGAATTCCTAGTATTTGTCTCTGTTGCTTTTTGGCTGCAAATCGATCTGCTCACAGCCAGAATGCTGAATCCCAGCTTGTTATATTGCAGGAAAAACAACTAAAGACAGAGGAGTTTCAGGAGTCAAAAAATGGGAAGAAGAAGGGTTAAAACCTCCCCTCCCATAGCCACTCTGCTGGAAATAGTGTCCCATCCATGCTTTAGTTTGCAGATATTTACCAGAGAACACCTTGATTCCCAGATTCAGATTTGCTGTTCAATGTCTTGTCTGTCCTTCAGAGATTGGGTTTATGCTGAATTAATCACTCTTTTGGAAGATGGCATTACAATACTCACTTTGCTGAAACCAAGCCCATTTTAAAGTGTGTATGCATCAGTATAAGGTAATTTCCAATTTTAATTCTTTGAGCCATGTGCAAGAGACTCCAGGGAATGGCATCTGCTGTCTGCAGGAGTTATCTTTTTGATGAATCAGACACCTTATTTGTACCTCTGCATTTGACAGGCATGTTTTAATAAGGTCTTGAACTGCTTACTGTGTCTTTATGTACCTTCCCTTTTAGCAGCTGTAACAATGCTGCTGCTCATCTTGTATTAATGGCATGACAAACAGCAGATTTAATCATTAACTTAAGAACATTTTAAAGTGAATTTGCCTAGAACGGTAGCATTATAGAGGAAAATGTAAGGCCAAATCAAATGCTAACCATTTATTTTAAAACCCCTGAAGATATAAAAGGAGTAATTTGTGAAGCACACTTGGATATTTGTGTTTGAACATATTACATACTGCATTGTGTAAACTAAGTATGTAGTTGATATATCAGTATATGAATATACATACATAATTTGTAAATATCTAAACAATATGAAAAATGATTTGTATTAATTATATAAAAAACAATCTCTCTAAATGAGATATTTCACTGATAAGAATAAAAATACCATATTTGGTACTTTACAAATGGAAACCTTTGTCCTAATTTTTGTTCTGTGCTGGATATATGTGATTTTGATTAAACAAACTCTAGTACATCTCTCACCTTCCTAGATGAATTGTTAAGCCTAGGAATCAGTATCTGAATGTTTGCTGTTTTTCCTCTTCTCTCTACATTGCTTTCTCCTTTTGAGCTATATCTTTGAAATTGTAAACCCTAGGGCAAAAAGTCTAGTGGTGTGTGTATCCATTTATGTGTGTTTACACTGATCCAATAGCTGCTTTGCAGCCATGAAACCCACTGGGTGACCTTGGGCAAGTCATATGCTCTTGGCCTCAATGTAAGGTAATGACAATCTTCATCTGAATAAATCTTGCCAAGAAAAACCCATGATAAGTTTACCTTAGGTTGCCTTAAACTGGAAGCAACTTGAAGGCACACCACTACAACAACCAGCTGCTTTGGGGGCTTTTTTATTTTAATGAGCAGTGTGATAGAACTGTTTATATTCCTACTATAAACTCTGCTTCAAGAATCACAAAATGAACTTGTATTCAAATCAAAATTTCCAAATTTCCCCATATTTGCAAAAGCACCTGGACGATATTTGCATGTTGCTTTTGGTTTTAAGCCAAACCTGGAAATGGTAGGTTATTTGTGAAACATTCCTTCAAGATTTTCAGATGTTAAATGAATACCGGTACATTAGGGGTGTGAAACAAATGTCCCTCCAGATATTGTTGAACTGAAAATTCCAACATCCTCACCACTGGTTATGCTAACTATCACTGATAGGAGCTGCAGTCCAATAACATCAGGAAGGCTGCATGATTTTTACTTGAAATACACTAAGAAAAGGACCATGACCTCAACCAGCTAATGCAGTTTTCTGAGAACCAGTGTGGTATAGTGGTTTGAATGTTGGACTTTGATTCTGGAGACCCCATGCAGCCACAGGAACCCATTGGGTGACCCTGAGCAAGTAACACTCTCTCAACCTCAGAAGAAAATAAAGGCAAACTCCTCTGAACTAATCTTGCCAAGAAAACCTCATAATAGCTTCACTTTAGGTTCGACATAAGTCAGGAATGACTTGAAGGCACATGACAATGTTTTATCTGTTTTTAACTTTTGTATGGGTTGAAATCAGTTTTATAGTATTTTAATGTGGTGATTTTAAATTAGTTTAAAAACTTTTTTTAAATTTTTTTTAAATGTATTATCCTGGAAGCTGCTTAGGGTCCTGTCCTGGGAAAAAGACAGCATGTAAATAAAGTAAATAATAATAATAATAATAATAATAATAATAATAATAATAATAATAATAATAACAATAATAAAAATACTTGATTCAAGAATGAAGAACTACCAATTTCCTTCCCCACAGCTGACTGAGAATTAATCAGTGACAGAATTAGCTTAGGCACCTATCTGTTGTAGTGATGTGAACTGCAATTCTCAGTATATCTAGACCAGGGGTAGGCAACCTTTCCCCTTTAAGGGCCGAGGGACTTCAGCTCCCAGAAGCCTCAGCCATGTTGGCCAATAGTCCCATGTTGGCCAATAGCTCCTGGGATTCTGGGAGCTGAAGTCCCTCGGCCCTTAAAGGGGAAAGGTTGCCTACCCCTGATCTAGACGGAAGAAAAAAGTCAATTGACCTCCATGGGGGCTTATTCCCCCTCTTAGTAACTGTGCTTTGATTCTAGCATAAAGCAAATGTTCCAGCCCAGATATGAAATGAGAACAGGATAAGAATGCCACTAGGATTCTGGAAAGCATGACAAAACAGAAACAGCTCTTCACATGCCTAGTGCATAGTATTCATTGTCTTAACAATGAAATTGATAATTCCAATGAGAAAGATTGGGAAAGAGAAATTTCCAACTTTATTTTATTTTACTATTAAACAGTCATAGATTGACATTAGTTTTTGCCTCTGTTTCCAATGTGTTATAACTATTTTTAATGTTAAAAATTGTATTTATATTGTATCTTCTTTTCCATTGTGGTACTCACAATGTTGTGTATGTGTGTTTCTGTGTGTGTGATGGTGAATGTAGACATCGAAAGTGGTCTTTTATCCAGGTACTAACCAGTTCAACAATTTTTAAGTATTGTGAACCTTGTAGCTATGGCTTGGTCCCAGTTTGTACACATGAAATCTTACCATTGTAGAATTGGAAGGCATCTCAGAGATAATCATGTCCAACCTCCTGCTGATACAGAAAATCCACAGCTAAAGCATCCCTGAGAGACAATACAGGCTTTTCAGTTTCCATGTACTGTTAATATTGGACCTATGCAGAGAAGTTCCAGGCATAAGGGGCAGAGTGGGAAAGAAGACAATAGTTATTTCAGGGATAGCAGACTTCTTTTTTTTTTAAATTTTTATTTTACATACAAACGTACAACATACAACATATCACATGTTAC